ATATTCGTATGGCTGATCAATATATCGAAGTACCTGGTGGTTCTAATAATAATCATTATGCTAACGTTTCATTATATTGCCGCCGATCGTACTGGTGTTCATGCTTTTGGGCTGGATGGTAAGCATTCTTAAAAAAAAAAAATTAACAATAATACTTGTGTATGTATATAAATAAATTTAATTTTCTTTTAAACTAATGAAATATGGTTTGATCTTTCTCATCTATAGGGGATAACCCTAAATTACCCGAATCATTAGCGCGAAGTAAACATAAGATAGTTTTCGTTGGTCCTCCCGGTTTAGCGATGCGTTCGTTAGGTGATAAAATATCATCTACGATTGCTGCAAATGTTCCTACGATGGATTGGAGTGGTAATTATGTCACACTGATGAACAAGGTCATGTTATTTTTTCAGAAAGTGTTTACGAAGTTGCGTGCGTCAAGGACGTTGTTGATGGGTTAAATAAAGCAAATTCCTATCATAATCAAATCTTCTGAGGGTGGAGAAGGAACTCGTCATCTCGAAGTTCAGGTTTTAGCGGTTCAATACGGAAATGCGATCTCCTTATTTGGAAGAGATTGTTCGGTTTAAAGACGTCATCGTCATCAAAAGATCATTTAAGAGGCTCTAGTTACGATTGCAAAACAAGAGACATTTAAATCGATGGAAAGGGCTGCTGTCAGATTAGCTAATTAGTTGTTTATGTTTAGTGCGAGAACCGTTAAATCTCTTTACATCATTGCGTTTTGTCTGCAGGGAGATTTTTTATAGATGCATCAATGAATGATGGGGAAGCACTTCTGTTGAAGCTTTTGCATGCGGTGTTACATTTTTCTTTGTTGGTGGTGTTGGCAAAGAAAGTTGCTGCATCATAAGAATTTTTTTTGTTTTCTTGTTGAGCATCCTACGACAGAAATGGCTCAATTACAAATCGCTATGGGAATTCCACTTCATCAAATTCGTGATATTAGAGTTCTTTATGGGTTGGCCCCAAGTGGAACTTCCGAGATCGATTTTGATTTTTCGGATCCCGAGTCTCTTCAAACTCAAAGGAGACCTGCACCAAAAGGTCATGTAATAACCGTTCGTATAACAGCGGAAAACCCTGACGCAGGATTTAAACCAAGTAGTGGTATGGTGCATGAACTTAATTTTCGTAGCAGCACGAATGTTTGAGGATATTTCTCGCCGGTGGCCTTCATGAGTTTGCGATTCTCAATTTAGTTTCATTTTCGCTTATGTGAGAAATAAAGGGCGCAAGATTTTTTTTGGAAAAATCGTCGGTCCCTAAATTTTTTTTATAGTTTCGACCAGATTTATATTAGGAATATTTTCGGGAAAAACAAATTTCAGATAAAAGAAGTAGGTTTTAATTATTAGGCAGTTCATTTTTCTGTTTATGAACGAAATGAATAAACAGTGGTAAATTGATTAACATTATGCCACTCATCTACCATTTTTTTTATTTTTATTTTTATTTTATTGTTTCCATGATATTTTCAGGAATGATTTAACAAATGCTCCAAGAGGTCTCGTAAGAGAATTTGTAGAAAAACATAAGTCACACTGTAATCACAAAACTTTAATAGCGAATAATGGTATAACGGCTGTTAAAGAGATTAGATCTATTAGAAAATTGGCTTATGAAAATTTGGTGATGTGATGGCTACTACTGAAGATTTAAAGATTAATGCTGAATGTGTATGGCTGATGGTGGTTCTAATAATAATTATTATGCTAATGTTTCATTAATTGATGATGGGCTGGCTGGAAAGCATCATTCTAAAAAAAAAAAAAAAAATTAATAATTATACCGTGTATATATATTAATTTTCTTTTAATTTAATGAAATATGATTTGATCTTTTCATATTTAGGGGACATGCATCCGAGAACCGCAGATTAAACATAAGATAGTTTTCATTGGTTCAGTGATTTTGATAAATATCATCTACGATCGTTGCTCAATCTGCAAGATGGATTGGAGTGGTAATGGTGTCATCCAAACTGAATTTGATGACTAGGTCATGTTATCGTTTACGACGTGCGTCAAGGACGTTAATGATGAGTTAAATAAAGCAAATATCATATTATGATCAAAGCTTCAGAGGGTGGAGGAGGAAGAGGAATTAAAAAAGTGGAAAATCCAGATAATTTTACGCAAGCATTTGCTTTAGACCACAAATTTTAAATTGTACATTTTTTTTAAATTTAGATAACATAAACAACCTAAAATTTGAATTATATGCGGTACTAGCTGAGGTTGATGTGATTGGAGTTCCTTCCGTTAGCATATTTATTTATGGAAAATAATGGAAACGGCATTTGAACTGGCATTATCATTGATTTCTTATTGCAACTAAAAATTTGTGGACTTGAACCTGAGTTTTTTATATCAGATAAAGGCTTTGCTCAAATTCAGCAGCGCGTTTTATTTGGAAAGATATTAAGGCACAGTTGAGTTGTGTCTTTGGCACATAAAAAAAGCTGTGGAAACAAGGTTATCAAATAACAAAACTTCTCAACAAATAAATTACAATGGTAATGCAGCACATCAATTATTTTCGTTTATTGATCCATCATTCCGACCTAGTTTATCCAAGAAAAATACTCTAAAAGAATTATGCCCATTAGTATGGAAATTCATGAATAAACATTTACAACATCCATTTATTCCAACAATTGATGGGCAATTCCTTTCTTTAAATTCTATTTGAACAATGGCAATAAGTGAAGTTTATAACTTTTGTAAACTACATTCTTTACCATGGCACTGGATATATCTATGGAATGAATGGTACAGTTTGGATCGTTGGATTTTATGGCTTTGAGCAGGATGGGTGATAAAGTTTCAGTTTTAAAACAAATTTGTTTGTAGAAGAACATTGGATGGTGTTAATAATGTAAATTTTTATACAAATTATTTCTTTCGCATTTAGATTTGGTTTTGTCTATAATTCCACATAATCAAAGAAAGTTTGAACAAATATTTAAAAGAGAAAAGGCTGATTGGCGAAAAGAATAAAAAAGAATGGAAGAAGCTTTCAACACGAACACTCAATAATAATATGTATTTAACTGATGTCAATAATTGAATTTGTGGGTGCCCAGATTTTTTTATTAGCCGATTTCTTATTTGTAAACATCTTATACAAGAAAAAGGAGATGTAGATGTTTAATTTTTTGATGAGATTTACCGCAATCATCAGTATCCCTTTCTTAATTTATCAATACCAATAGATCTATAAAAAGATCTTAATGGTAATTATTTACTTGAAGATAATGACTTACAAGATTATATGATCAGATTATTGATATAACGGAAAAGATACTTGAAATTCTTAATTGTTCCTCAAAGTGGAAACGTACGGAAATATCTGCCTTAAAAGAATACTTAGCAAGCATTGTCCAAATGTTTCTGTTCTTATTTTACGCGAGTATATGCAAAAAGTTTCTTCACGTGAATGTACTGCAAAAAAAAGAAAGCTTGATAGTGGACAAACCACCGTTTCATCATTTCATGATTATACTGAATTACCCGAGGCAAGAATTAGTAGAATTAATCGTGCTTTAGAAAAGTTCTTTGTTGCTTGTGAAATTTCATTTCGGATTGTTGAGCATCCGTTCTTTATAGATTTTGTTAAAGAACTTAATGCTGGATATAATCCTCCAACTCGTGAATACTATCTGGTCGTATTTTAGAACGTGAGTTATATAACGTAAATAAAACGTAGACAATGATATAACAAATAATTCTGATTTGACACTTGGTAAGTGAATTTTATTAAAGATATTTAAATTTGCATTTGAACATTTTATTTAATTTTTTCTAATTTCAAAGCTTTGGATGGATGGACTTCAGGATGTCATCAGTCAATTTGGAATTTTATAATCCTTAAGCCTTCGTGAAAAGAATATTTATACCAATTATCAGATATATCCATACAGGAGAATATTTGGCTAGCAAAATTGAAGAAGTGATTGAAAATGTAGGACTTGATTGAATTTCAGCTATAGTATTTGATAATAGACCGAATGTTAAAAAAGCAAGAGAAATTATTAATAAGAAATATCCCCAAATTGAGGATATACGTTGTATTTCTCACTGCATAAATTTGATTGTATTTGTTAGTCACAATTTTGCAGAGCGGTTACTTCAAAAAGTCAATATATTAGTAACATAATTCACATGTTACAGGTAGGTTAATGATTTTCATAAATTATTTCTTTATCTTTATTTATAATCATTCTAATATAATACTATATATCTATTAAATTATTATTGCAAGTGGAGTTCTTAAATTATATTGTAAAACCAGATGGATCACATCAAGCAAATCTGTTAATTCTATAATAACATTAAAATCAATTTTAGAAAAGGTAATATGAAATATTATTTGAAAAACTGGTTTCAATTTTTAAAGCTTATTAAATCATTATTTATATTTTATAAGATTGTAACCGAAAATGCAGAAATAACAAATCGAATTAAAGTAATTATTCAAAGTCGTAATTTTTTTCAGATTTAGAAATGTTGGCATTTGTATTAAATCCCATAAGGAAGGCAGTTCTTTCTTTAGAAGCTCGTATGGCAACTTTAGCTGATTATTATATGCATTTGGCACAGCTTCTGCTATACTAAAAAGTTTCCAAAAAATATTAATCGTGAGTTATGTAATCATTGTTATACCGTGATGAAAAAAGGTTTGAAGAATTTGAGGATGATAAATATCTTCGAGGTATTTTAAAATTAAATATTTTAATTTTTGTATAATCAATTTAAATTAATTTATTAACAGTACTTTATTTGTTAGCGATTTCTTTAAAAAGTAATGCATATTCAAAAGCTTTAAAAGTAGCAATTACAATTGGAAAAAATTTAGGTTTCGATTTAGAATATTCACGCGCTTTGTGCTTACAATTACGTCAGTACAAAGAATTTCAATCACTATTTGATTTACTATTTAGATATGGATTTGAAGAACCATATAATTGGCGGAACTTAATTGATACTTCACCAAATCTGAATTCCTTATCTCAAACTGCTCAGCATCTTTCCTCAATTCAGAGATATTTCTTATTAATAATTTCTCTTGCTTTTTTAACATTCGGTCCATTATCAGATACTATAGCTGAAATTCGATCAAGTTCTACTTTTTCAATTACTTCTTCAATTTTGCTAGTCAAATATTCTCCTGTATGGATATCTTCTGATAAATCTGATAATTGATATAAATATTCTTTTCGCTAAGGCGTAAGGATTATAAAATTCCAAATTGACTGATAACATCCTGAAGTCCATCCATCCAAACCTTTAAAATTAGAAAAAATTAAATATAATATTCAAATACAAATTTAAATAATCTTTAATAAATTCACTTACCAAGTGTTAAATTAGAATTATTTGTTATATTATTGTCTACGTTTTTATTACATAACTCATATTTTAAAATACGACCAGATAAGTATTCACGAGTTTGAAGATTATATCTAGCATTAAGTTCTTTAACAAAATCTATAAAGAATGGATGCTTAACAATCTGAAATGAAATTCCACAAGCAACAAAAAACTTTTCTAAAGCACAATTAATTCTGCTAATTCTTATTTCAGATAATTCAATATAATCATGAAATGATGAAACAGTGGTTTGTTCACTATTAAGCTTTCTTTTTTTGCAGTACATTCATGTGAAGAAAGTTTTTGCATATACTTGTGTAAAATAAGAACAGATACATTTAGACAATGGCTTGCTAAGTATTCTTCTAAGGCAGATATTTTCACGTGTTTCCACTTTAAGGAATAATATTTGCAATCTGCTCCAAACTTTTCAGGAGTCTCAGTACTGCTTCTAATAAAATGAAGCTATATAGCTTCTAAAGGATGATCTTCCTTTTTCTCTTTATTCCTAAAATTTATATTACCAATATTTAAAGAAGATTGTCAGACATATCCATTGTAAAGAATATTTTCATTTTGATTAAAAATACCTAATTGAACAAAGTTTATGAATAATTAACATTATAATTTTTAATATATATATACATAGCTTAATTTTTATCACATTTGGCCTATCATTTACTGATAATTTTTATCAAATTGAATTAATATTAGGTACCAAAGGCTGATTGCAATAATATAAAAATACTGTCAAAATCTATTTATTATTTAAGTAAATTAGCTCTGAATGAAATTTTCTTTATAAAGATATATAGGATGCAGTCAGTAGAAAAGGGGAAAATCCAAAATTTTTGTTAATTTTAATTATTAAGCAAATTTTGTGCACATGATCGAGATCAGCCAAGTGGTCAAATAATATAAATTTTGACCAAAATTTGGATTTCTCCCTTTTCTACTATCCGCCACCTATATACTAAAATTTTACAGTAAATTTTATTAGTAACAACTTTTACAATTTAATTATAATTATTAATTAAATTTATTAAATTAAATTTCTATTTGTATAAATTTATACTAAGGCATTGATGATACATTATATTATATTGATTTTCTATATATCTTCTATAGCATTATCTTATGTTGATAAATTTATTTAATAAAAAAAATAATTGATTAATAATTTAAATTAGAAGACATACTATTTCTGAATTTAGAAAGCATGTATACTATTAATAAAGCTGATTATTTATTGCTTCATAATCATCATACCATGATTGTGTATTATAAACATATAGGTTGCTTGTCAATATTGATGTTATAGTTTCTAATGGTAGTTGGTCTACTATAGTTAGTAATGTTATATTCAAAGATTTTTATTACTTCCTTTAGCTAGCACTATTATTAAATAATTCAGATTTTCATTTATCATACTTTCATAACTTATATTTATATCATTATTAATTGTTAAACTGCTATTGCTAATACTTTCAATTTTTAAGATTAAATTGTTTAGTTTATATCCATTTGATATAAGTTATTTATGATCTTATCAAATGATATTTTAAGGTATTGTTTTTATATCTGATTATATTTTCTTTAATAATACTTAAGTAATCATTCTCTTTCAGTAAAATTTTCTTCACTTTCTTGTGTTCTTATAAAATATGCTACAATATAACTTGTTTATAAATCAGCATTATATTTGTATACAATTCAAAAAACCAAAAATTATCAAATGCTGGTAATTTTTCTAATTAAGAATTATAATCTGAGTGATACTATAGGTAAGATTGGTCGAAATAGTTAACAAACTGATTTTACGTTTGTCAAGTTTTTATATACTATAATATATTATTGATGTCTTGACAGAAATAGGTAATAATGATTTTAGAGACTTTTCAGATTTGATGTACTTAATAAGAAAAAAACTTGAATTAAAAGATCATTTCCATAGCTTCATTTCTTATCGAAATGTTATAAGCTGTATAAAAAACAGGAAGTAATAAATTTTAGACAAGAAGATTCACTTGCTATATTCTGTAAATCATAACTTTGTAATACAACTATATCTTGAACATCTTGAACCATCGGTGTTTTAGCAAATCGAGTATTAATTCGACTTAATTTAATATTTCCATTTTTTGAAATCAGGTAACAACTTGCTTCAATGTATTGTTGGTTTTGTTTTGAAAATTGTTTGAAATAATGGGCAAATCGTCAGCATTATAATAAGCATCAAGAAAATCTGTTTGCAAAATTTAACGTGATAATATTTTATAATAAAATATTTGACATGATTGTCCAAAATATGAATTAACTAATAAGTTTTATAAATAGAAGAAATGAAAAAATTAATAATAAATATAAGAAGGTATCTTACCAATTCACCTATATGAAACCGTCAGTTTTATCATCACCATCATCATCATCATCATCACCATCACCATCACCATCACCATCACCATCACCATCACCATCACCATCACCATCACCATCACCATTATCATTACCACAACCGTCCAATAACACGATCGATTATTGGTGCAATTATAGGATCTATTAGTTCTATTGTGCTGTTATTTGTCTCTTTTTATATAGTTTGAATAAATAACTTTAAATGTTAAGAATTCTGCGGCGCAATACTTCAATGTCAAAAAAAAAATTTTTTTCTATCAGATTTATAAGTCAGATTAGTAAATTATTATTCTTATGATGTAGTCCTTGATCGTAATGTAATAAATTTGTATATTATTATTATGTCATGTTATTTTAGTGAATTTTCCTTGGAAGGTCAATTTATATACCAACTTTAGGCTCGTTTAAATATTTATCATTTTTTTTTTAGAAATCTAAAGTAGTAATTTGAATCTTCAGTTTAGGTTGATTAGCATCAGAACGCCTGTATAATTTTTAATATATTCTTAAAAAAAAAAAATCTAACCGTTGTGGTGAAACATCATCCTTTTTAATTATTCTAAACTAAAAATGTATTAAGAGAAAAAAAAAGTTCAATTTTAGATAAAACACTTCCGGAAAATTAATTTTTTTTTTTCATGTATAATATGTCATGTTAAGCAAAATGTGCGAAACCAATAAATTCACGATCGAGATGAATTTGCTGCGCCTATAGTTCAAGTAAATTCTCTAATACTTAAGATACAAATGATGAATATATCTATATTAAAATCTTAAAATCTTAAATATTGCTAACATTATTTTGATAATAAAAACACACATAGTTAGCATAGAGAGAAGAATGCTAAATAGCCTGTATCATTTACTAATTTTTGGTTTCATTTCAGAATTGTGATAAGGTTCCTTTCGATTTTCTGGATTTATGGTAAAAAAAATTTTTGGTTTTTATTTTTTATAGTTGCAAGTTCGATCGCTATAATCTGATCAATTTTAATTTCTTGCTTCTTTTGGGCTACAACCTTAAAAGTTTATTTTATTCATTTAATGATCTCTTTTCTATTTATGAAAGTTATTTTTGTATTTTATTTTTTTCATAAACTAATTAATTTTTTTTTTTTTTTGGGTTATGTAAAAAAGAAATTTTATTCCTTAAATGTTCGGCAGATATATTTGTTACACTAGATATTTTAAATTGCTAATAAATGCTTTATTTGGATTGATATTAAAATTTTTTTCTCACGAGAAACGTTTTTTTTTTTTTTTTTCATATTTTTTCTTCTTTTTTCTTTAAAACAAAATGTCTCTTAATCTCCCTGCTGACTGCTTAAATGAAATTTTTGAATATTTGAAAGATGAGGATTTACGATCATGCATACTAGTAAACCGACTTTGGTGTGAAACATCTGTTCGAATTTTGTGGAGAAAAATTCAAAATTTTAATACTTTACTCAAATTCCTTCCTAATAAATCAAAATTGATTTTATCGGAGAATGGAAGTTTAATCACGTCTTCAACTTCAAGACCTCCATTATTTAATTATACATCATTTATCAAGAGTCTTAACATTTTTGATATTTGTAGCTCAATTAAAAGATTTCACAAATGTCGTGGTCGTATTAATTTAGAAAGCTTTGAAAAAGTTCGAATTATGGCGATGAAGCAGGAATTATTTGAAATGTTAATGAATCAAACCTCTCTTAAAAATTTAAATTTTGACACTCGTAACGACATAAATATACCATTTTTTAATTATCCTGGAGCTGAAGATTGTTTAAGAAATCTTTCTGAATTAAAGTGTAATTCAAATACTTCTTATAAGCTATTACAAATATGTCACAATTTACGATCTCTAAGGGTAGTTTTTCGATCTAGTTTCTCAAATAAATTAATAGAATTAGTTTTTGGTCAAAAAAATTTAAAGTACTTGAAGTTGTATTTTCAATATTATGCGAAAGAACAAAGTCTAACTTTTACAAAGTTTCCTAATACGTTAACCAAGTTACATATTCATCGAGTATATTTTCGTATACCATGGTCATCATTTTCTGGGCTTTCGAATTTACAGGAACTTTCCTTATCATGCTATGACATAATAGATAAAGACTTCAACAAACTTCAAGATGTTAACATTCCACAACTGCAAATTTCAAAATTTGCATTTGATTGTTTTAATAATGACAACCTATCCAAATTTCTGGAAATCAATGGAAAAAATTTAACGAATCTCAGTCTTGGCCAATCAATTGATTGTTCAATACATTTAGATATAGGCAATTTTTGTCCAAATCTTAGGTCGTTACGCACTATATTTTCAAATGGAAACGTAGAATCACTGAAAGTAATTTTCGATGGTTGTCAACAATTAGAAATCATAAAGGTTTTGCGTTGTAATTCCTTTTTAGATGAACGTAAATTATTGGAGATTGTTGTAGAATTTTCACCTATAAAATTTCATGAGTTATCAGTAGATTTTGGAATTCAAGTATCTCCGGAAACAACATTTCAATGGGGATTAAGATCTATCTTGGAACGCTGGGCGAATCGTGTTCCATGTATTCCATTTTCTTTGACTGTTTCTTTTTATTCAAAACTGGATATAGAATTTTCAAAAAGTAATATCAAAATAATTAAAGAGTTTAGAGAATCGAGCGCCATTAAAAAATTCGAAATTATTAACCTTGGATAGGATTAATTATGATTTATTTTACCGTAGAATATTCATTTTTTTTTTTTGATTTATAAGATTATGAAACAATATTATAGAAATAAAAATATAAAATTTATACGAAAATACGTTATGTGTTGAAATTAATAAATTTTATAATTAAATATACAATGCATTCTTGGCTATTTATTAGTAAAAAGATTTATGCTTTAATCAACCAGAAGTTAGATTATGGTATCAAGAAAATTCTTTCATTAAGCCAAATTAAATGGTAATAAATCTAAAGTATCGCGCATATTTGAATTGTTTAGCCAACCAATTCTAAACATATTCCTAATTTCAAGTTACCATATTTACCTCCAATGAACCTTTTATGATTAGGTTGAGTAGTCTTCATCATCTAAATTGAAATAAATTACCGACCAAATTTTTAATCATTTAATAACTTTTCGGATTTTGTAATCACGAGATTGAAAAGGTTAAAAATGCATGTGAAATATGCATAATACCTAGAAAAATATACAATATGCACCAATCTTTCTAATCTTCTTGAATCTCCCAATTTCGATTCCGATTTCCTATAAATCGAAAAATAATATTATTTTCATCAGAAGTTTCCAAGAGCATGAAGGTATCAGAATAAAATTTTGCTATACAGGATGAGTTTTATAAATCTTTTAAGATGATGGTTATTCTATTGAAAAATTTCAGATTTTTTTTTTTTTGATCTTCCATTACAAGTTTTGTGCATTTATTATAAATCGATTCAATATAATTTGGGTAATATTCCTTCTAAAAATTCATCATATTAATGTCTAAGAAAATTTACTCTGTTTAAAAAATGAATCGAATTCCATCATTGATAATCAAAATCAAAAAAATTTAAACGAAATTCACTTCATTATCAAAGCAGAGATAATGGATTTTGATTCCTTCATTAATGATGTCATATATATATATATTGTATATTATCTCGATTCGAAACTAAAGTATTCCATATCGGAAAAGGTATCGTTGTTTCAATGTTCTGTTGTTTGGTTTATTGTTTGTATTCTAACCAATAACAATGTCATCATCCATGTGATTGGCTTCAAACCATTCATGCCAATTAAATTTGGTTAAATAATTCTTATCGATGAATTCAAATATTCTAGATTTTAAATGATAGTCAAAATGATGAAATTATTTGCAAGAGTTTTGTTGTCATTAAAATCTTTGATTTTTCTACGGGCTGTTTATTAATTTTAATTGTATGAAAAAAGCTTATACATTAACAATTGTCTTTCTTGCGCAAATATTAAAGCCCAAAAGTTTATCGCTTAAAACTTTAATTGAAACTTTCCTTTCTAGGATTAGAATCGTTTCAAAAATCAAAATCGAAAATCGAATCGCCAAAAATCGATTTTTAAAAAATAAAAAATCAGTGTTAACGTTTTTTAATTTTTAAATATAGAAAAGTTGTAAAATTTATAAAAATAATTTGAGATTCATTTTATATTAGTTATTTATGAAATTAAAAAGTTTTAGAGTTTTAAAAACAAAACTTTTTGATTGACAATCACGTGCGTGACATGCCTTTTTTTTTTATTTTTCGATTTCAAGTCATTTTTTTTTCAAAGTTAAATTACACACTATTAACAAAATATTTGATTGTTACTCAATATTAAATTTATTTGATTCGCTTTTTAATTATTAATTATTTAAATGATCCTCAATACCCCAAATTTAATTATAATAATAATAAAAAATGGCCAAAGTTCCTCATAGCGGTTTCCTTAAAGATTTACATGTTCAAGATGCTTCAAGACAAGATCAATTTTCAACTTGAAGTACCTTTTATCATTTTATCTGATCGTCAATTATGCGATTTGGAATTAATAATTCTCCATTGGAAAGTTTATGAATCAGAAGGATTATGATTATCAACGGTTTGTAATTTTAAAAAAAAATATATATTTTTTTATTGAAAAAAAAAGTTTTGATTTTGATCTGCTGTGTCACGATTATTTGATCTCTTAAATTTCTGTAATCTTTAGTATTATTACTCTCTTGTCATTATTAGAATGAGTCAGAACGTGAATTTATTTCATAATATTGAAATTCAACTATTCAATGCATGAGTTTGAACGCTATAATCTGATCAAATCGATCGAAAATTAATTCAAAGTTTATTATTATCCTAATAATATAAGTTCAAAAATTCCTTATAGATTTTTTTTTAAAGTTACTTATAGAATCCGACAAACACTAGTATCCCAAAATTTCCTTAAAATTTGTTAAAGGATTTTTAGGTAATCCATAAATTTTCAGATCCTTAGGAATTCTACAAGAATTTATAGAATCCTTATGGATCCGGAACTCTAGAACTTTACTGATGTAGGGATGATTGTTCATTCCTTTAGGGACTATTATATCGTCTCTTTAGGAATGATGTTTTGACGCCTCGCAACAAACAAATCGAAATATTGTTTGAGAATGTCGGCAATTTTACATAAATTTGTTGTTATAGCTAGCAATAAGCTATTACAAATAATCGATTAATGAACCCGACTTTTAACCTAGCCACTTAAACAATAACAATAACAATTTCCCAATATTTAGACTCTTTTTTGATTATTAACGGCGCAAGTATGTATTCGTAATCCATCAACAAAAAAGTAAGGAGGGCTTACGTAATTTCAATATTTTAATTGTTAAATTGTTATGTAAAATTGGATGATCAATGATTATTACTGAGATTCACATGAATTCAAACTCAACTTTTGTTACGTTATATATTATAATTTATCCAAAATCAATTGTGTTCACATAAACGTTAAATTTATATTTAAGTTGACAAAAAAAAAATTATTCTTTTTTTTTTTGTAAAAAAAATACATGGCTTCTGAATTTTTTCCCGGATTATCTAAAAATTTTTCTCTATTGCTTGAAGATGCAGATGACTATAATATTATTATCAAAGTTGGAGAGAATTCCAATACAAAAGAATTTAACGCACATTCTAATATCTTGAGAGCTCGCTCTCCTTATTTTAAAAGAGCCCTTTCGCAAAATTGGGTTACAAAAAAAAATGATATGATAAACTTTACTAAGCCAAATATTTCTCCTATTGTCTTTGAAATGATTATTAGGTAAATATTTTTCTCATTTGTTTATAAATAATTTTGATTTGAAATCACGAATTTAAGATTAGAACCCTCGTCTTCTTTTTTTGATTTTGATTAGGTTTATATATACTGGCGTTCTTGATTTGAGAAAACAAGCTGGTTCAGACATCCTTGATCTTCTTGTAGCGTCCGATGAATTGCTTATTGAAGAGTTGATTACATTTGTACAAAAATATTTGATTGACAATCAAGCCAAATGGTTGCAACAAAATTTCGTCAAAGTTCTTCACACAGTTTTTCAACTAGAAAGCTGTAAACAACTTCAAAAATATTGTTTAGAGACCATTTGTGATGACCCTGAACCTTTTTTTAATTCACCAAATTTTCCGTCATTAGAAAAAAGTATTCTACTTGAATTGCTTAAAAGGGAAGATCTTCAAACCGATGAAATTGAATTATGGAATTATCTTATTAAATGGGGAATTGCTCAAACTACAGAATTAAAGGAAAAGAACATCACTAATTTAAATCGATGGAATAAAAAGGATTTCTCGGCTTTGAAGAACACTCTGGACCAATTTATCACCCATATCAGATTCTTTGAGATTTCTTCAAAAGATTTTCATAATAAGATTTGGCCTTTTAAGAAAGTGTTACCTTCATCACTTTTTGAAGAAATAGTTTCATTTCATATGTCAAATATTGAACCTAAGCAAAATAAATTGGTTCCTCGTTATAAAAAAATTCCTGTTGATTCAATGATCATTAAACCCAGGCATGCGGCTGTTCTTGCTAACTGGATTCAAAGAAAAGATACTAATGCGATAATTCCAAAGGATAAATATAAATTCACTCTCATTTATCGTCAAAGTAGAGATGGATCTGATATTAATACTATGCGTAATAAATGTAATGGACAGGGAGCATGTATTTTAATTATTAAAACCAAAGAAAATACAACCATTATTGGTGGTTATAATCCTAATGGTTGGAATTACCAAAATAATAATTATTATAACAATAATTTTTACTGGGTAAATACTACCGAAAGTTTTATTTTTTCTTTAGGTAATGGAATGAATTTAAAAAATTTTAAGATCAGTCGAGTTAAAAACAGCGGTTGTGCGATGTATGAATCGTATTATCAGAATACTGCACTAAATTTTGGCAATAGTGATTTGGTTATCAATAACAATTCTGGAACATGCAATAAATCTCAATATGAAAGCAACATTTTAGAAACAAAAAGTTTTAATATTGAGGAAATGGAGATTTTTGGATTTCAATAAGTATATATATAAATACTTTTTTTATAAATGTATAATTTTTGGAAAAGAATCATTACTTTATAATAAACGAAGCTTTGGCTAACCTAATGTATCATGTCATTAATTATGATATTTGAAATTTTGATGTTTTCTTATTAGAATTTTTCCATTAAAATCATTAAGATATTTATCGCATCATGTTAATTTATTAATCATCAATTGTTTCGTTTATCATGTAACAATATAATTATACATTGTGTGAGAGATTGCATTTTCTAATAACTTGGTATATTTATAAAGAAAATTTCAGTTTAAATAAGAACAAGTTATAAAGATTAAAGATTTTATCTTTATCTCTGTAGAACAAAGATATTTTCTACGGGGTTTCTCATGTCATTAGAATGATATCTATATTTAATTTAAACTTGTACAATTTAAAGAATAATTATTTATTAAATATGGAATCGATGTTTTCTTTTTTCATAATAGTGTTATTAAATAAACCTTAAATTTCTGTGCAATGCAATTTCAAATTAGTTTTTATAGAAATGATAGATGTAAATTTTCGACGAATAATCGACATATATTAATAGTGTAACAATGCTTCGGAGTATGGTTTTAATAGCATTTAATAGCAAAATTTTAGATATTTTATTGTTGCATTATTTTTTAAATAATATAATATTTGTAAAATAATTAATTACGTTTATTTTCATATTTTTGACATTACAATTCAACTTTAAATAAATGGTATAATAAATTAAGAAATTAATAAATTAAATATTAAATATGTAAGATAGTTTATTCTAAAAAAACATACTTTTAAAATAAAAAACATTTAACATAATATGTTTAGAAAGTTTTACATTTGTTTCTATTACCACAAAAGATCGAACCGATTCTCAGTCATCCAAAAAAAAAAAAAAATTAATTAAAAATCGGATTAAATTAAAACAAATGCAGTATAATAATAATAAAAATTTTTTAAAATACCTATAACTATTATATGTATATACAATATCAGTTCGTAGGTGAAAATACTGGTGCTCTTATATATTGTATAAAACGTGTTTGTCAAAAGTTTGCTATATTTATAATGTTTTATTTTTTATTTTGTATAATCAATTATGAATGAAATTAACTTTTAATTATATTTTTATAATTTTAAAATTTGCTACTAATTTTATTTTAAATTTTAATCTAAATTTAAATGTCATTAATTTATAAGCCAAATACTACAGGAAACTATAATTTATTTTGTATAAATCATTAATTTGCTATAAAATACATTTTGAATAAATTGAATAATGCAATTATAGAAGCATTGTAAACTTGATGTAATTTATGAAATATATGGAAAGGTTTCTAGAACGATCAGGTACCAAGACACTTTTAACAAAACAAAATTAAGATTTTTTATTGCATTTGATTTTGAAGTTATAAGATAGTTAATATTCTTAAATATTGCTTTTTTTTCCTATTATTAAAAATGTTTATGTTTTTTTTAATATATTTTTTAATAAATTCGCAAATTTTTTAAATATATTTCGGAAAATAAATTAAAAGAAAGTTCCTGTTTTAATTGAATAAGTAAATATTTTGAAATTAAAACAATTCGCTATTATTAAGTGAAAATTTTTTGATCGGTTTTAATTATAAAAGTGTAAGATGATAATGAATAAATTCTTCTTATTTGTGAAGAAGTTTATTATCAAGAAAGAATAAAGGGTCTGGCTAATTTCACCGACAAGGTCATTTCGTTGATAAAACATTAAAAACAGCAAGTTATTAAATAGCTTGATAAAAGAATAATTGGATTGTGTCTTCACTGCGAATTTATGTCCATGAGTAACTTTTCAATGTGGTCGAGAACAAAGTATCTGATTCAAAAAAAAGTTATCTTTATTTATAATCATATGTAAAAAATACAGGATTATTATTAATTTACAATATAAAATTTTTTTCATAAAAATAAACTGTCGGAGAAACGGTGTCGGCAAAATAATCCTGAAAGTGTCAGTAAAATAAACCTATATTTAGGTGGGCATACTTTCACTTACACAAAAACCAAAATGTATTCATTTCAGAAATTTAGTTACTTTCGAATTTTTAGTTTAAATAGAAATAAAACTTAACATATTTATGATTAACAAACGTAATTAATTTAACTTCTCTTAATAATTCAAAGAAAAAGATTCCTGAAAAAAAAAATATTTATATATTTGTATCATATGAGTTTTGCGTCAACATGTTATCAATTAAAAGCATCATTTTCAACTTTCTTTTATGATTAATAAAATAATTTGAAAATTTAATAATGATTATTTCTGCTTGTATACTAACTCAATAAGGAAATACTTTACTTATAAATTGCAAAATTAGAAATAAAAAATTTTTACAGTTACACCGATCATTCATATGACCTGTGGCTTAGAAATTTTATAAAAGTTGCCTAACAAATGCATTTTTGTTCTCCAAAAATTTTTATCATTTCGCTTGCTAAATATAATTAATTAAAAATCAACATGCAAACTGCCAATAATTCAAATGAGTGGATTGAAGACTATATTACAAGCAAAAATATCAAACACTACGAATATAAATATTTTAGTAATTTTGAAGTGATTGGTACGGGCGGCTTTGGAAAAGTCTATCGTGCAAATTGGAAAAATTTAAAACAACCTCTCGCGTTAAAATCGTTTCATAACTTTAACAACGCCACTGTTAAAGAAATAGCTCGTGAGGTAATTACAAAATGCAATATTGTATTTCAATCTATTTAGTATAAAATCATTTATAAGACAAACTAAAAATTTTATATTCGTAATAATTTAGCTTGAAAATCAGAAGGAAGTTGATTTTCATTGCAATATCATACGATTTTTTGGGATTACATCATCATCAAATCAAGGTATAATTAAATAATTAGATATATAATATGAACTTTTACATCGTATTTTTAACTCATTTATATATATTATTAAAACATATAAAAATTAGAAAATCAAAATGAACAATTGAAAATATATTTGTTAGTAATGGAATATGCTGATGGCGGTGCACTCAAAAACTATTTAAAGGATAATTTTGATAAACTTGATTTGGAAGATAAATACAATATGGCATTCCAGTTGGCTAGTGCTGTATCGTGTTTACATGACGAAGGACTTGTACATCGTGATTTGGTAATCTTGCATCATATCATATATTGTATTTTGTTTATTATGAATCTTAAATTAATATTTAATTTTTTATATATAATATACTTATAACAGCATTCAGGAAATATATTAATTCATCAAGGTGTTATTAAACTAGCAGATTTTGGCTTATCGAAAAGAATTGAAGCTGTTTCGAATCAGTCAAAACTATTTGGTGTAATTCCATATATTGATCCTAGAAGATTTTGTAGTCGGAGAGGAAGTGACAATACATTGCAACAATCTATGCTGAATGAAAAAAGTGATGTTTATAGTATTGGCGTGCTGTTATGGGAAATATCGAGTGGTCAACCACCTTTTTATGTTGAAGGTGAACCATACGACCTTGATTTAACTATTGAGATTTCCCAAGGTCTTAGAGAAAGTATCGTTCCTGGTACGCCTAAAGTTTATGTAAAAATTTATACAGGTAATATATTATTATAAATTTAAATAAAAATATCATGTTTTTGAACATTAAATTGTTTTATGGTTTTAGAGTGATGGGACGGCGAGCCTGACAATCGTCCGTCTATGAAAAAAGTGGTTGATGAATTAAATACAATTATTACAAAAACAAATAAATTTGAAAATAAGCAAATTAATAATGAAGCATTAAAGCTTCAGTCAAAACAACCTCCTTATTCTAGTTCATCACATGGAGAATTATCAGAAATGATTCAAAATATAGATCAGTTAAATTTTGAAGAATTAGATTCGAATATTGAAACAACTACTATTATTTACATTGATACTATTTATAGTTTAACGATTACGGATCTTAATAAGGATGACATATTAAATGCCTCAGGAGGATTACAAAGATATCGAAAATTACAGTACTCCGCTGTATTAATACTCAGATAACCAGCTTACCAACATTACCCGACTCCTTAACACAACTCTATTTTTCTAATAAGCAAATATCCAGCTTACCAACGTTAACGTTACTTAAATGTAGCAATACTAAAATAACCAGCTTGCCAACTTTACCCAACTCCTTAGCGGTACTTAGTTGTAGTAATACACAAATAACCAGTTTACCAACTTTACCTAACTCCTTAACAAATCTCTATTGCTATGAAACTCAAATAACCAGCTTACCAACTTTACCCAACTCTTTAAAATCCCTCTGGTGTTTTGATACACAAATAAATAGTTTACCGAATTTACCCAATTCCTTAACGGATATCAGACCAGAATCTTTGAAAAATCAATATCTCCTAATAAGTGGTGAAAATTAAAATTTTAGTTTTTATAGTGTTTTCAAACTTTAAAGCATTTAAATATTAGCGTATTAAAACAATTAAGCTCAGTTTTAAGTATATTTAATCAATCTGTTGAATTAAAACTATAAACTTCTTCAAGTTCTTCTAAACAACAATTACAACAAAAGCCTCCAAGTTTATTTCTTGTAAAAATAGCATTACGTCTTAGTAAAGTTAATATTACAAAAATAATGAATAAAAATTATAACTTTACAACAGAAAATTCAACAAAAACTGGAGAAGCA